TAGGTACAAAATTTGGCTGCATTTACCATTTAGAAAAAATGCTTTTAGCTCTTTTGAACTTGAGCCATTTTTTATTGTTGAGTTTTCCTTTTGTAATAAAAAAAGGCCTTCAGCTGAATTATTAAGGAATTGGCTTTGGGCTTTTGCTCTCATTCACAATGAGTGTGAACAAATTCTTTATAAGACTGACATCTAAATTAATTAGAATAAGCTAAAAGATAGATGAAATTTATCTTTACCTTTCTCAAACTTTTCTCTTTGTTTTTTTTTTTTTTTTTTTTTGTTTTTTTTTTTGAGAAGGAATCTTGCTCTGTTGGCAAGGGTGCAGTGCAGTGGCATGATCTCAGCTCACTGCAACCTCCACCTCCCAGGTTCAAGCGATTCTCCCGCCTCAGCCTCCCACGTAGCTGGGACTCCAGGTACCCACCACCATGCCTGGCTAATTTTTGTATTTTTAGTAGAGACAGGGTTTTGCCATGTTTACCAGGCTGGTCTCAAACTCCTGACCTCAGATAATCTGCCCGCCTTGGCCTCCCAAACTGCTGGGATTATAGGTGTGAGCCACTGTGCCCAGCCTCTCACAATTTTCATACTTGTTTTTTTCAGGTGTTTTGCACAAATGAAAATAAATCTTTATTTTTACATAGCTGACATTCTTAAAAAATCTGATACTATATTTGTAATGTTACAGTTTATTAAATTTGTTCATCATACACATTAAATTGCCGTTAAAGATTACATTAAAGCTAAGAAAAAACCATGTACTCCAAATGATTATACCCTTCATTACATGGTAAAATATGAAATTATATGAAAGCCAAAAATTTCACTATTCAGCCAATTTAAATTTTTTTGTGTGTGTTTTGGAGCAGATATTCATAGATGTCCTTTATATTAATGTTAAATATTAATAGATAATATTAGCCATTGTTCAAATAGATTTCCTTAGAGTTAGCAGTGTGCATATATATATAAATTCATAAATTCCAGTACTGTGGGCTGCTTCATGACTAGTTCTCATAATGTCAGTTCATTCATCACCTGGAGACTAACTCAGAGAATAGTTTGGCAAGTTCAGCTCTGCCACTAGGAGCATAGCATGGACCTCACAACTACCCAGAGAGTGCAGGGGTTATCCTCACCTAATTAAGGCCTCCTCTGGAGACCTATGTAGCCTGGGGCTAAGTGTTTGTACTTACTAAGCAGCAGTTAGTTACCACTGTCCTCTGTGTTCACTGAGACTTAGAGTTACAGTATGGGACAGATGTACTTGAGGCCTTCTTTAATGTATTTGCGAAGTTTAGCCAAATACCTCCTTGGAAACTTGATAAAGACATGGCTTATGGACGGGGTGCAGTGGCTTATGCCTGTAATACCAGCACTTTGGGAGGCCGAGGTGGGTGGATCACCTGAGGTCAGGAGTTCAAGACCAACCTGGCCAACATGGCAAAAGCCCATCTCTACTAAAAATACAAAAAATTAGCCAGGTGTGGTAGTGGGTGCCTGTAATCCCAGCCACTTGGGAGGCTGAGGTATGAGAATCACTTGAACCTGGGAGGTGGAGGTTGCAATGAGCTGAGATTGTACCACTGCACTTTAGCCTGAGTGACAAAGTGAGACTGTCTCAAAAAAAAAAAAAAAAAAAAAAAAAAAAAAGACATGGCTTATGATTTTATTCTAACATCTACCTAAAAGGAAATTTTAAACTTCATATAGTTAATATTAAAGTGAGAAATAATATAATTAAAAATAAAACATGCTTTGATTTCCTTATGTTTTTAGAGGTTACCATATTTCAATAACTTTAAATAATATTATTCATTGTTTAAAAATATATACATTGATCATACCATGCCCTCAAATACCTCTTTTTTTGCTTAGTTTGTGCATGAAAGCATCCATGATGAGGTTATAAACAGACTTAAAAAGGCCTATGCACAGATCCGAGTTGGGAACCCGTGGGACTGTGAGTATCTCCTTCTGTTTTCCAAGGATCCCTTTTTGAGAGCTGTTGTTTACAAGTGTTTCTGATCTGAGTTTTGGAGTTTCTTTCCCTTCCCTGAGAGGCCTGAAGCCACATGAAGCAGATTATTAGGCTTTCGGGTATCGTGTCTGCTCCTAGGTTTTGACCCTGGGTGCTTGATGTGGGCTGGTGGGTGAGACTAGGAGAGGTTGTTTAGATGGGATGAGACTTAGTGAGCTTCTCTCTCATTACTATTACCCTTGTCCAAGCCAACACTGTCCCTCTTGTGGAAGGCTTTAAGAGTCCCCTAACTGACCTTTCATATTGCTACAGAGTGATTTTTATTTTATTTTATTTTTTTGAGACGGAGTTTCGTTCTTGTTACCCAGGCTGGAGTGCAATGGCGCGATCTCGGCTCACTACAACCTCCGCCTCCTGGGTTCAGGCAATTCTCCTGCCTCAGCCTCCTGAGTAGCTGGGATTACAGGCACGTGCCACCATGCCCAGCTAATTTTTTGTATTTTTAGTAGAGACGGGGTTTCATCATGTTGACCAGGATGGTCTCAATCTCTTGACCTTGTGATCCACCCGCCTCGGCCTCCCAAAGTGCTGGGATTATAGGTGTGAGCCACTGTGCCCGGCCTTTACAGAGTAATTTTTAAAATGTAATCAGATAATTCACTCTCCTGCATAAAATACTTCTCATTGCTTTTAGATTTTTTTCTTTTCTTTTTTTGAGACATGGTTTTACTCTGTTGTCCAAGCTGGAATGCAGTGGCATGATCTCAGCTCACCGCAACCTCTGTCTCCTGGGTTCAAGCAATTCTCCTGCCTCAGCCTCCTGAGTAGCTGTGATTACAGGTGTGTGTCACCATGCCCGACTGATCTTTGTATTTTTAGTAGAGACAGCATTTTCACTTTTTTGGTCAGGCTGGTCTCGAACTCCTGACCTGAAATGGTCTACCTGCCTCAGCCTCCCAAAGTGCTAGGATTACAGGTGTGAGCCATTGCGCCAGGCCTGCTTTTAAATTAAAACCTAGAGTCCTCTTGATTCCTTCTTTTTCTCAGGCTCCGGATCCTTAACGGTCTGCTGTCTGCCTCCTGCCCTGCTTGCCTTCTCACCAGCCTTCCTGTGTCCATTTTCCCTCTTGGTTTCAGAGTTCCATCTTCTCCAACCTCCTTTCAGTGTTCCAGATGTGTCAGGCTCTGTCCTGCTGTGCTGCACTGTCTCCTGGAAACATTCTTCACCCAGGGTGGGGATGGCTTTGCTAACATTCCTCATCCTCATAGAGGCCTACCTACAGCTTCCTTCTTCCTCTGTCAGTGGGTCACTGTCAGTGCCCTAGTCTCCGGCAGCCATAACGTAGGACAGCATCATTCTCTTCCTCCTTGAATTATGCACCAACTGCTGACTGTGATGGTTCCTTAGAGAATGGTCACACTGTAATGAGTAAACTGATCCTATATTTTGAGTGCAGTGTTTTGATTAATTGATAGTCATTCCTTTAAACTAGAGGTTGGCAAACAGACTTGGTCCTGCCTGTTTCTGTAAAGCAAGTTTCACAGCACATAGCCATACCTACTTATTTGCATGTAATTTGTGGCTGCTTTTGCACTATAATGACGGAGTTGAGTATTGTGATGGAGACCACGTACGTCCTCCAAAGCATAAAATATTTACCATATGGTTCTTTATGGAAAAAGGATGCTGACTTATGTTCTCAGTTGAGAGCATATAGGAAGGCATTGGTCTATTCATTGAGAAATCTGTTCTAATAATAAAATGATGCCATAAAAGGCAAAATGATGAGCCAGGCTTCCTTTTCTCTCTCTAGCAAATGTTCTCTATGGGCCACTCCACACTAAACAGGCAGTGAGCATGTTTCTTGGAGCAGTGGAAGAAGCAAAGAAAGAAGGTGGCACAGTGGTGTATGGGGGCAAGGTAAGGGATGCTCTGAGATCAGTGTAACAGCTTTTTAACCTTCTTTTCCCTTAGACACAAGCAGACTCTGGGCATATTGGGAAAGTGACCCCATTTGACATCCTTCTTTTCCTGTCTTTACTATAAGGGGAAATACATGTTTTTGTTTGTTTTTTGCTTTTGAGACAGAATGTCACTCTGTCGTCCAGGCTGGAGTTCAGTGGGGTGATCTCAGCTTACTGCAACCTCTGCTTCCTGGGTTCAAGTGATTCTCCTGCTTCAGCCTCCCAAGTGACTGGATTGCAGGCGCACGTCCCCATACTCAGCTAATTTTTGCACTTTTTGGTAGAGATGGGGTTTCCCATGTTAGCCAGGCTGGTCTCCAACTCCTGGCCTCAAGTGATCCACCTACCTTACCCTCCCCATGTGTTGGTATTACAGGCATGAGCCACCACACTTGACCCTGCTTGTTTTTGTGACGGGGTCTTGCTCTGCCACCCAGGCTGGAGTGCAGTGGTGCCTGATCTTGAATCACTGCAACCTCTGCCTCCTGGGCTAAAGCAATCCTCCCACTTCAGCCTCCTGAGTAGCTGGGACTACAGGTGACATCACCACCCCTGACTACTATTTGTATATTTGGTAGAGATAGGGTTTTGCCACGTTGCCCAGGCTGGTCTTGAACTCCTGAAGTCAGGTGATTCACCCATCTCGGCCTCCCAAAGTGTTGGGATTACAGGCATGAGCCACTATCACTGGCCAGAAATACATGTTTGGTTTGTTTTTGTTTGTTTTTGTTTGTTTTTTTTTTTTGAGACTGAGTCTCACTGTCTTGCAGACTGGAGTGCAGTGGCATGATCCTGACTCACTGCAACTTCCACCTCCTGGGTTCAAGTGATTCTCCTGTCTCGGCCTCCCGAGTAGTTGGTATTACAGGTGCCTGCCACCATGCCCAGCTAATTTTCATATTTTAGTAGAGAAGGGGTTTCACCATGTTGGCCAGGCTGGTCTGGAACTCCTGACCTCATGATCTGCCTGCCTTGGCCTCCCAAAGTGCTGGGATTACAGGCGTGAGGCTCCACACCTGGCCAGAAATACGTGTTTTAAAGAATGACAACAGTGCTTGCTTTGACAGCACATATACTAAAATTGGAACGATACAGAGAAGATTAGCATGGCCCATACACAAGGATGATATGCAAATTCATGAAGCATTCTATATTTTAAAAAAAGACAACAGAAAAAAAAATGCATGGGACATTTCTGGAAGGACATAGAAGAAACTGAGTTATGGTTGCTTTTGCATTGGGTCCCTAAATATTTGTATGGAAAGCAGAATTCCTTGTCATAGCACAGTAGGAGACTTTGTATTCAGAGCAATTAGAATCTGTTTATTGGTAATCTTAAAAAGTCAGTTAAGGCAAGGAATAAAATAATACATACCATAAGTATTAAAACAAATTAACACATATTGCTGGGTACAGTAGCTTGCACCTGTAATCTCAGCACTTTGGAGGCTGTGGTGGGAGGATTGCTTGCGGCCAGGAGTTCAAGACCCTCCTGGACATCATAGACCCCGTCTCTACCAAAAAATAAATAAATAAAGCTGAGTGTGGTTGCATGCACGTGTAGTGCTAACTACTTGCGAGGCTGAGGAAGATCACTTGAGGCTGCAATGAATCATGATGACATCATTGTACTGCAGCCTGGGCAGTAAAGCAAGACCTTGTCTCAAAAAACAAAAAACCAAATCAAAAACAACCCCTTGTCTCAAAAAACAAAAAACCAAATCAAAAACAACACATATAAAGATTTGTTTGTGGCTAGGCATGGTGGCTCACGCCTGTAATCCCAGCACTCTGGGGAGCTGAGACAGGTAGATCACTTGAGGTTAGGAGTTCAAGACCAGCCTGGCCAAAATGGTGAAACCTGGACTCTACTACAAATACAAAAAAAAAAAAAAAAAAAATTAGATGGATGTGGTGGTGTGTACCTGTAGTCCCAGCTACTTGGGAGGCTTAGGTGGGAGGATGGCTTGAACCCGGGAGGTGGAGGTTGCAGTGAGCCAAGATCAAACCACTGAACTCCAGGCTGGGTGAAAGCAAGACTCTATCTCAAAAAAAAATAAGAAAACAAAAACAAAAGGACACTAGTCCTTTTGGATTAGGACCCTACCCATATGACCTTGTTGAACCTTCCTCCTTAAAGGGCCTATCTCCAAATACAGTCACACTGAGTATTAGGGCTTCCACATGTCAATTTTTGGGGGGAATACAATTCAATCTATAACACACAATAGATATTTAAATTATGTAAATATTAAAATAACCACCTGCAACAGTGTTTGTTCAATATAACTTGGTTGTGTCACATGGCATGGCTCTTCATCCCCACCTGACTCCTTATTTCCATTTTTCTCTAACCAACTAAGTTAGAATCAATAACAAGAAGAAAGAATCTTCATTCATGACAGAAAATTATTTTGGAGAAATAGTTCACCTATAAATGATGCTAATTTTTTTCTTTGTAAGTGTAGGCAAAGATTGTATCCTCTGACTCCAAGTACTAGAAAACGAAATGCTTTCATTCTTTTTATTTCAATTCTCTGTATTAGGTTATGGATCGCCCTGGAAATTACGTAGAACCGACAATTGTGACAGGTCTTGGCCATGATGCATCCATTGCACATACAGAGACTTTTGCTCCGATTCTCTATGTCTTTAAATTCAAGGTAAAAATGCAATCTGTTCTCTAGTCTAATGTTGAAATAAATGATAAGAGGAAATTGATGGTGTATTAAATTTCACTTGATGAGCCTTTAAGAGGGTTTTAGAAAGTAATCTGAGTAGTAGCTATATGAGGGTTCAAGATAAAATATGAGATAAACACTTTAAAACTATAGTATGCCAAGTTAGCTGCCAGGGAAACCAGATAGGGTAGTGGACTAATACTGGAGTTTATGGAGTGTGTGGTCCTCATCTCCTGTGTCATATTAATCCCGAGCTGTGTGGGCCATAGAGGCAGCTTCTCCTGAACACTGGTACTGGATAGTTTGATAGCCTGAGTGCTGTGAACATGTCAGCAGACAAAATGAGAAGATGTGGGGGCTGGGTGTGGTGACTCACACCTGTAATCCCAGCACTTTGGGAAGCTGAGGCTGGCAGATCACCTCAGGTCGGGAGTTTGAGACCAGATTGGCTAATGTGGCAAAACCCTGTCTCTACTAAAAAATACAAAAATTAGCCAGGTATAGTGATGGGTGCCTGTAATCCCAGTTACCTGGGAGGCCGAGGCAGGAGAATTGCTTCACCCTGGGAGAGGGAGGTTGCAATGAGCCGAGATCACACCATTGCACTCCATCCTGGGTGACAGAGCGAGACTCCATCTCAAAAAAAAAAAAAAGACCTGTGGTTATAAACTGCATCAGAGGACATGCTGCAGAGTTTTCGTTTTGTTTTCCCTGTTCTCATATTTTGGTCTTAAACTGTGGAGGTTTTACTAGGTGAAGACGCTGGACACACACAGTGGCTTATGCTTGTAATCTCAGTGTTTTAGGAGGATTTCTTGAGGCCAAGTGCTCAAGACCAGCCTGGTCAACACAGTAAGACCTGATATCTATAAAAAATGAAAAAATTGGCTGGGCCCAGTGGTTCATTTCTGTAATCCCAGCACTTTGGGAGGCCGAGGCAGGCAGATCGCCTGAGGTCGGGAGTTGGAGACCAGCCTGACCAACATGGAGAAACCCTGTCTGTACTAAAAAGACAAAATTAGCCAAGCATGGTGGCGTAATCCCAGCTACTCGGGAGGCTGAGGCAAGAGAATCTCTTGAACTCAGGAGGTGAAGGTTGCAGTGAACTGAGATCACGCCATTGCACTCCAGCCCAGGCAACAAGAGCAAAACTCTGTCTTAAAAAAAAAAATTAGCCAGGTGTGATAGTGTGTGCCTGTAATCCTAGCTACTGGAGAGGCTGAGGTGGGATGAGATCTTGTCTCTAAAACAAACAAACGAACAAACAAATAAAACTCCAAAAACCAACACAGGTGAATGAATTAAAAGGTCTCATTCTCTAGCTTGAGACAGGCCCTAGCCTTGCCAGTAAAATATGTAGGATTAATTTTGAGACTATAGACATTTAATCAAGATTTGAATGTGCCTTTTTTTTTTTTTTTTTTTTTTTTTGAGACGGAGTTTCGCTCTTGTTACCCAGGCTGGAGTGCAATGGTGTGATCTCAGCTCACTGCAACCTCTGCCTCCTGGGTTCAGGCAATTCTCCTGCCTCAGTCTCCTGAGTAGCTGGGATTACAGGCACGTGCCACCATGCCCAGCTAATATTTTGTATTTTTAGTAGAGACGGGGTTTCACCATGTTGACCAGGATGGTCTCGATTTCTTGACCTCGCGATCCACCCGCCTCGGCCTCCCAAAGTGCTGGGATTACAGGCTTGACCCACCGCGCCCAGCCGAATGTGCCATTTTTAACAGTTAAAGAATAATGAGAATTGCATCTTGTTGCAATTACATGATTGCATTTCTTTATTTCTTGCTTTAAATGACCTATCATTGTTTCACATGTGGGGACTAGAGAATGTAATTTTGTGTTTTGTAATGTGTTTGTGTACATTATGAGACCGTGTGAGCTCTTGAGCAAAGTAGCCTCTCTAGGCCTCAGTTGCCCTATCTGTAAATTGGGAGATAGTCAAAAACCTGTGTTATAGGATGAGGATTAAATAACTAAATGCATGTTAAGTGCTTAGATGAGTTATTTAGTTATTTCCTCTAAGAGCTCACTAGATATTAGCTATTATATATAATAGATTGAATGAGAGGAAGAATGTGCTAATATTTGTTTCTCAAATTATGATTGGGGGAAAAAAATCCAAAAAAGTGTTATCAACCATCTGAATTATAAGAGTATACTGTTGACTTTTTGGTTTCCTTTTATACACTAAAATTATACTGGTACATCTCAGGAAATGAGATTAATGACAGTGAACTTTGACCTGAATACTATAACATCTAACAGCTTCCAATGTCTCTCCTTTTAGAATGAAGAAGAGGTCTTTGCATGGAATAATGAAGTAAAACAGGGACTTTCAAGTAGCATCTTTACCAAAGATCTGGGCAGAATCTTCCGCTGGCTCGGGTACAACTTTCACTGTTTTGAAAATTTATATGAGTCTGATTTATGTGACGAGTGGTCTTAAAAAAAAAACCAGTATAGTTGAAAATCAATTTTTCAGTATTAAAAGACTTTGAGCTTTGATTTAGATTTTTTATTGATTTTTGTTTGTTTTTAATTTTCTGTTCATTATTCTCACGATGCCTTTCTTTTTAACAGACCTAAAGGATCAGACTGTGGCATTGTAAATGTCAACATTCCAACAAGTGGGGCTGAGATTGGAGGTGCCTTTGGTACGTAGAGAATAATGATGTCTTCTTTTCCATGTTGGGCAGCAAAGAAAATCCAGTAGTAGTTTTTAGAAAAGTTTGACCAAGAAACTGAAACACGCCTTATATTCTGAAATAATCTTATGTGACCTAACATGCTGAGAAAGCTTTCATTCTGTTTTCAAAGTTATCACATAGAGTCTTGCATCATCTCCTCAGAGGCAGCATCAGGTTAGAGCAGAGGCCTCAACCTGAAATGTGTGAATCCCTGAAATGCTAGCATTTGTTTTCTGGGGAGGAGTTTCCAGACCTGGAAAAGGTTAAGAATCCCTGCTTCAAAGCCAGAAAATTTTACATGAAATATTCTGGTTTTTATTTGCAAAGTAGGCATATAAATGTTAAACATACTCTTTTTCACTAGATAGAATACTAAGTTGTTTCTCTTCACTGGACCTGCTCCTGTTTCCTCTTAATAAGCCATGCATTATTAATGCTGAAACTTGATAGTAGTTTTTCCTAAAAAGCTCTCCCTAACCATTTTTATTAAGTATCACTTATTAAAAATGATCCTAAGTAAAATAAAATAGATTGCTTTTTGTTTTCTTTTAAAGAAAGAATCAGGCTAGGCATGGTATCTCATGCCTGTAATCCCAGCACTCTGGGAGGTCAAGGCAGGTGGATCACCTGAGGTTGGGAGTTTGAGACCAGACTGGCCAACATGGAGAAACCCCATCTTTACTAAAAATACAAAAAAAAAAAATTTAGCTGGGTGTGGTGAAGCATGCCTGTAATCCCAGATACTTGGGAGGCTGAGGCAGGAGAATCACTTGAACCAGGG